CCCGAGCACTTGCTACCGCGCACTCCTGGGCCTGTCAAGCACTTGACGTGGCAGCAGGCAGTGCGTGGGTCAGACAGTTCACAGACACAGACACACACACACACACACAAACCTCGGCTCGCCAGGCCTACGACAACGGCAAGAACGAAAGCTGGAAGGGAAACTACTGGAGCTGGGGCTGGAAAAACACAAAGGCGCGCTCACTAGAACAACGATGCCTCATGTAAAGATGACTTCTTTCCCACACATGTTCGCTTGGAGCCTTCGAATCTTGCTGGCCGCTGTTTTCTCGACAGGCCAGGAAAGGAAGCTACTGGAGCTCGAAGCACCCCAAGAAGGTCACGACTCTCGAAGAGCTCCGCATCAAAAGCCTCTAAACCCCAAAAACCCTAAACTCGAAACCCTGAACCCTAAACTCTAAACCCTAAGCCCGAATCCTAAACTCTAAGCCCTAAGCCCCAAGCTCCACGGCGAAGGAGGCTTGGAAAATGGACACGATGGCGAAGTTGAGGCCATCACGACCCCTGGGATTCAACTATAGGGCTTAGGGCTTAGGGCCTAGGGTTTAGGGCTCGTAGGATTTTCGGGCTAAGAGCATGTTGTGGATGCTCGCAGCCGAGCGGATAGAGGGTTAAGGGTTCCTACGTTAGGGTTTGGTCTTCCTTACAAAACACACTAAACCCTGAGCTCTAAATCCTCAACCCTAAACCCTAAACCCTGCGAAGTTGAGGCCATCACGACCTCAGGGAATTAACTCTAGGGCTTAGGGCTTAGGGCTTAGGGTTTAGGGCTCGTAGGAATCTCGGGCTAAGAGCATTTTGTGGACGCTCGCAGCCGAGTGGATAGAGGGTTAAGGGTTCCTTGGAGCCTTACAAAACACACTAAACCCTGAGCTCTAAACCCTCAACCCTAAACCCTAAACCCTGCGACTCTAGAAGGACTTCGCATGAAAAGCCTCTAAACCGAAAAACCATAGACCCGAAACCTTAAACTCTGAACCTTAAGCCCGAATCTCTAAACTCTATAAGCCCTAAGCCCCAAGCTCCACGGCGAAGGAGGCCTCGAAGACGGCCCACGATGGCGAAGTTGAGGCCATCACGACCCCAGGGATTTAGCTGTAGGGTCTAGGGCTTAGGGCTTAGGGTTTAGGGCTCGTAGGATTTTCGGGCTAAAAGCATGTTGTGGATGCTCGCAGCCGAGCGGGAGAGAGGGTTAAGGGTTCCTACGTTCCCAAGCTCCACGCCGAAGGAGGCCTGCAAGACGGCCGACGATGGCGAAGTTGAGGCCATCACGACCCCAGGGATTTAGCTGTAGGGTCTAGGGCTTAGGGCTTAGGGTTTAGGGCTCGTAGGATTTTCGGGCTAAGAGCATTTTGTGGATGCTCGCAGCCGAGCGGGAGAGAGGGTTAAGGGTTCCTACGGTAGGGTTTGGTGTTCCTTACAAAACACACTGAACCCTAAGCTCTAAACCCTCAACCCTAAACCCTAAACCCTGCGACTCTAGAAGGACTTCGCATGAAGAGCCTCTAAACCGAAAAACCATAGACCCGAAACCTTAAACTCTGAACCTTAAGCCCGAATCCCTAAACTCTATAAGCCCTAAGCCCCAAGCTCCACGCCGAAGGAGGCCTGCAAGACGGCCGACGATGGCGAAGTTGAGGCCATCACGACCCCAGGGATTTAGCTGTAGGGTCTAGGGCTGAGGGCTGAGGGTTTAGGGCCCGTAGGATTTTCGGGCTAAGAGCATTTTGTGGATGCTCGCAGCCGAGCGGGAGAGAGGGTTAAGGGTTCCTACGTTAGGGTCCGGTGTTCCTTACAAAACACCCTGAACCCTAAGCCCTAAACCCTGCGACTCTAGAAGGACTTCGCATCAAAAGCCTTTACACCCAAAAACCCTAGACCCGAAACCTTAAAGCCTAATCTCTAAACCCTAAGCCCGAATCCTTAAACTTTAAGCCTTAAGCCCCAAACTCCACGCCGAAGGAGGCCTTCAAGGCTGACAACGATGGCGAAGTTGAGGCCATCACGACCCCAGGGATTTAGCTGTAGGGTCTAGGGCTTAGGGCTTAGGGTTTAGGGCTCGTAGGATTTTTGGGGCTAAAAGCATGTTGTGGATGCTCGCAGCCGAGCGGGAGAGAGGGTTAAGGGTTCCTACGTTCCCAAGCTCCACGCCGAAGGAGGCCTGCGAGACGGCCGACGATGGCGAAGTTGAGGCCATCACGACCCCAGGGATTTAGCTGTAGGGTCTAGGGCTTAGGGCTTAGGGTTTAGGGCTCGTAGGATTTTCGGGCTAAGAGCATGTTGTGGATGCTCGCAGCCGAGCGGGAGAGAGGGTTAAGGGTTCCTACGTTCCCAAGCTCCACGCCGAAGGAGGCCTGCAAGACGGCCGACGATGGCGAAGTTGAGGCCATCACGACCCCAGAGATTTAGCTGTAGGGTCTAGGGCTTAGGGCTTAGGGTTTAGGGCTCGTAGGATTTTCGGGCTAAGAGCATGTTGTGGATGCTCGCAGCCGAGCGGGAGAGAGGGTTAAGGGTTCCTACGTTCCCAAGCTCCACGCCGAAGGAGGCCTGCAAGACGGCCGACGATGGCGAAGTTTAGGCCATCACGACCCCAGGGATTTAGCTGTAGGGTCTAGGGCTTAGGGCTTAGGGTTTAGGGCTCGTAGGATTTTCGGGCTAAAAGCATGTTGTGGATGCTCGCAGCCGAGCGGGAGAGAGGGTTAAGGGTTCCTACGTTCCCAAGCTCCACGCCGAAGGAGGCCTGCAAGACGGCCGACGATGGCGAAGTTGAGGCCATCACGACCCCAGGGATTTAGCTGTAGGGTCTAGGGCTTAGGGCTTAGGGTTTAGGGCCCGTAGGATTTTCGGGCTAAGAGCATTTTGTGGATGCTCGCAGCCGAGCGGGAGAGAGGGTTAAGGGTTCCTACGTTAGGGTCCGGTGTTCCTTACAAAACACCCTGAACCCTAAGCTCTAAACCCTCAACCCTAAACCCTAAACCCTGCGACTCTAGAAGGACTTCGCATGAAAAGCCTCTAAACCGAAAAACCATAGACCCGAAACCTTAAACTCTGAACCCTAAGCTCGAATCCCTAAACTCTAAGCCCTGAGCCCCAAGCTCCACGCCGAAGGAGGCCTGCAAGACGGCCGACGATGGCGAAGTTGAGGCCATCACGACCCCAGGGATTTAGCTGTAGGGTCTAGGGCTTAGGGCTTAGGGTTTAGGGTCCGTAGGATTTTCGGGCTAAGAGCATTTTGTGGATGCTCGCAGCCGAGCGGGAGAGAGGGTTAAGGGTTCCTACGTTAGGGTTTGGTGTTCCTTACAAAACACCCTGAACCCTAAGCTCTAAACTCCAAAAACCCTAGACCCGAAACCCTGCACCCTTAAATTTAAACCCTAAGCTCGAATCACTAAACTCTAAGCCTAAGCCCCAAGCTCCACGCCGAAGCAGGCCTTCAAGATGCCATCAGGTCCCCAGGGATTTAACTGCAGGGTTTAGGTTTTAAGGTTTATGGTTTCTGGGATCTCGGGGTTAAGAGCATTAGGTTTTTATCGTAGTTTCCACATCGCGCTCCTCAACAATACGATCAACTAGCTAAGTCAGAAGAAACTTATAACCTTCCTAATGTAGGTTCCCAGATCTCAAAAAAAAGCCGGTGCCTTAAACCCTAAACCATAAAACCTATGAGGAGGCAACCGAAAGGGAACAAAATTGGCCTTGCATAACTCCTAGAATGGACTCGACAGGACTGGGTATCCTTGGATACTTATGGAGAGCATGGACGTTTTCTTCGGCTCCTGGATGCTTCTCAGAAGCTTAAGGATGTATGGTTTAGGGAACTCTAGACCTGAATCCTACAGCAGCACACTGCTCCTTCTACAGCAACCCGAAACCCTAAACCAGACCTCCTTAAATTTAAGAGTTTGCCCGGGCTCTTAAGAATGAACCATAGTCACCGAACTTCCCTTAACCCAGCAACCCTAAACCCTGAACCCCTACCCTAACAAAGGATTGAAGAGGATGAGACCGCGCAGCGACTTTCCACGCGTGACGTGTGAGATGGCTGGTCTGAGCTCTACCGCAGCTCCCTAGCGTGATTGCCTCGCTGCACAGCACATGGGGTCTAGCTCAGACGACAGCAGCAAACTGAGGAGCCAAGCACGAACGCACAACATGATGCAGCAGAGGAGTTAAGATGCGGTGCATAGTTACCGAAACTTGACGGTGTGGTCAGGTGCGTGCGATTGTGCAAACTTTTTTTCACCCAACAGAAGTTGCAGGTATAGATTCCTGCGGATTGTCGCAGACAATCTGACTTCAGCAACAAAAAAGCAATCCAATTCAATATCATATATTGAACAAGTAGTAGTGTTTGTCGTGATGTATTTAGGCATATAATAAGTGATAAGGCAAAAATGAATTTTTATTAGTGTATATATATGATGACTACGGATGCTAAGCGAAATGAACCCTAAAAATCCCTGCCACATATATATATGTATATATATATATATATATAGTACCCCCCCCCCGTTAACCCTCCCTCAAAGACATAAAGCTCGATATTTTGTTGTTTGAGCAACACTTTCCCGTTTTAATTAACACGCCTGGAACCAAGGACCAAGAACCAAGATTCCCGGAAAAGTCTTGGGACGAATCTTGGTTCCCAGGACGCGGGTCCAGGCAATTCGCACAGCCCTCTATACCTCGAGAACCAAGATTAGGCTGTCAGTTGCAGGGAGGTGCACTGATAGAGTCAGTTGGGTGGCAGCAATGTGGTGGGGGCGGCCACCGCGACCTGCACGTATATAGAGTATGTCAGAGACCAAGGAGTATGATCAGCAGCTATCACTAACACGCTGCGATTCGCAGCAATTGTAAAGCTGCTTGCTTATCCCTCGTTGCATTCAGTGCTTAGACCGGCACCGTCGCGTCAGCTCCCCTAGTATAGAGGTAGCCACCGCGGCATTCTCTCCAGAGTCCCTACCTTTGGCCGGTCAGATGATACTCCACAATGGTGCGGCCTACCTCCGCTTGGAGCCTGCAAGCCCGGCTCCAGCAGCACCTGCTCCTCCGGCTGCGGCTCCAGAAGAACCTGTGGCAGCATGCGCAGTTCGACCGGTGCCAGACTTGGATGACAACAAGCCTCCCACGCACGCAGACATCCAGCGAAACATCGACAGTGGCGCCATCATGGTCCACGTGAGTCGAGTGGCACAGACAGCAAGTGCGCATCGCAGCCTTGTCACCAACATCCAGAAGGCCCTGCGCCTACCGGTTGGCATATCGAATGGAGAGTGGGGTGTTGAAGCACAACGCAGGCTTTTCGAAGTTCTTCGCAAGGCAAAGCGTTCTCGTGGCCGAGTGCTCGCTATCGCTGACAAGGAAGAGGCCATGACGATAACCTGGACCTCAACGAGGAATTCTAGGAGACATTGACAAGAGCAAGACTACGAAGGCAGATGACAAGATGAGGCGCCGCGACCCCTCGAGCAACTCCCCTTCATCCTGACATCTGACTCATCCACCTCCGAGAACCGGAAGAGCAACACAAAGCAGAAGACAGACATGAATCCTCTTGAGGAGTTCGAGTGTTTCAGCGTGGCTTACGATGAGGCTGTTGCAGCAAACAAGGAACTCCGGCAGGACATCTATATGAAGGACCTCCGCATCAGTGAGCTAGAGGAGGAGCTTTTAGCAGCTCAACAGCAGCTGGAAGCTTATGAGCGTGAAGTCTGAGCATAGGCGGAGCACAGACACGATGCCTGACGGCATGACCGATTTTGGAGCTAGACTAGGAAAGACCATGCAGGGCTTTAGCGGTCAAGGCAGTGGTGACAACAAAGTCGAGACGATGTGACTTGTTGCTTCCGTGTGCGAAGATGTCAGACACAAGATGGCCGGGTATTGCTGATTGCAGCTCTTGCCACGCATCTGCCTCATGGCCCCTGGTACAAGCCCGTAGCAAGAAGTAGCATCTCTCGTGACTCTCGTGTTAGGCTCCCTCGCCTTGGCAAGGCCATGAGTAACTTGCTTGATGAGGCCATGGAGCAGTTCGGCGGCAAGGAGCATCACTGCGAGTCACTCTCGCTTCCCCGGTGTGGCTTCGTGGACGCATCGGCCCTGGAACACCCCGTCTCTATCAAGGACTTCATCACTAATGTCTGTCAGCGTCCTGAAGGGTTGAAAACTTGCCCATTGACCTTTGATGTGCACTGGAACATCCCTGGGTTCGGCAATGTCGCCCGCCTAGGTGAAGTGATTCAATCCAACCACTTGGACGATCTACCGGACGCCGTCCGCTTGAAGAAGCAACTTCCTCCAACCTCCAAGGTCGGGCTTATCGTGCATAACTTGGAGTCCTGTAGATCATCTGTTTCTCAGAAAAAAAAACCACCATCCAACAAGCCATTCAGCTGTGTGGGGGCGAGTGCCATGTGACTGCCTTCAGGCCTGGTCCGTGGGCACTAAGGAAGGCCTATGTGTGGATCCTCACCCAGATCAGGCCAGATTCCGGGTCTCCCATGGCGGGTTGGCCAGAATCCAAGGTACGCATCATGTCACAAAACAAAGCACGCGGACAGGCCGGTGCTACCTCGGCGAAGTTTTTCCCCCTTCAACACTCGGAGTTTGATACCAATCTTATAACCGCTACTCCTGAACTTCGGTGTGTACTCCGGTGGCCGGGAGTCGGGAAGACGCCGATGCCCATCGTGATGGGCCTGGCCTTGAGCCGCTACCGCATTCTTAGCAAGGGCATTGACGGTGTCAAGCCGGCATGGCGCCGAGCGAAATCCCTGGATAACTTCAGGCACCGCGTGGGCCTCATCCACGATACTGGACGACCCGCAGGTCGACAATTTGCCCATGGCCGACATCAAGAGCTGGCTCACCTTGGAAGAGGATCAGAACTGGACGGGGAGATACAATGATGTGAAGATGGTGCGCAACAACATGCGCGCTATCGCGTCAACAGCCTTGACGCAGACCGTGAGCCAGAGGACGACAACAGTCGTCGCTGCATCACGTCGGACGAGTTCTTCGAACTGGCGCGCAAATTCTCTGAAGGCCATCAGGAGACCGATGTGCTGGCAACCTTGAAGCGCGTAAATCGGAAAGAAAGGCAGCCTTGTGGCGTCTCGTGCGACAGCAGTATTGGCCATCTGTCACGCCCATGCCTCTTGGCTTGTAGGTACCCAGCGTCACTGATATTCTTTTCGCCCCCAATCTTTCAGTAGAACACGTCCCATGGCTGGTCGCAAGGTCTTCAATCCCGTCGTGGCCAAGCGTGGTAAGCAGCGCCTCCTCGCAAAGCGCCGTTCGGAAGACAGAATGGCAGCCCATCGGCAGGAAGTACTTGGAAGGCCGCAACATCATCTTCCACACAGACTCGGCCCGTAGCTACAAGACCCGTCTGAACAAGGTTGTGCATGATAACGTCGTGCGCTGCAAAAAGAAAGTGAGGGTGAACGGGAAGTGGACGTGGCAAATGCCCAAGTATGTCAAGGTCACGACCCACACATTGCCGGGCACAAACAAAAAAGTGAAGGCGAAGGCTGGAACGCAAATCGTCGACCGTGCGTGGCGGTACATCAAGGATCGCTTGTCCCTCAATCAGAGCACGCGCCCGGGATCCAGACTGATTCGAGCCAGCACAGATCCAGGGAGCTCAGTTTCAGTACTGGCACAAGAACGAGGATGCATGGAAAGTCGCCTGCAAGCTCAGCCACTTCGTCATGCAGAAGATCATGGGCGTGTGACTGCCGCCAGGACAAAGCAACTACTGCGAATGCAACTGCGTTCCAACTCATATGTGTCTATAGGTGCGGGGAAGCGCCCGTGTGTTAGATCTTGCGCACGCTGCGAACGACAACTCCATGGCAAAGTGCTCACAATCCTTCTGTGCGTTTCGCAGGGTTATATAGCCTACCACGGTGGGTTCTGGGCGGGAGGGGTAGCGTATATATATATATATATCTTTGTTTCTTTTGGAAAGGGGAGGTGGGGTGGGGGGGGGGGTGGCGGGGCAATTCTCTTGTTGCGGCGCAGCGCGAAGTTTTAGATCTCATGCCTGGCTGATGTGATAGCCGCAGAAGCCCCAGGCCAGCCCTGCCTTCACTTTGGCAAACTTAACGCATGACTTGAATGCCGTCTCACATTGTTTCTCTCTCTTGGGGAGTTGGGGAAGAGGATCCTGTCTAAATACCCATGAAGCAAAGATGTGCACCTTCTTGCTTCTTAGGTTTCTGAGACACCGGCACCGACCATCAACGATTCTAAGCTCTGATCCCTAAAGCCGCCCTAACCTCTAAATAAAAAACGAAATGTCGTTCAGGTTTAGGGTCTTTTGGGGGATTGAGGCCTTTATCAGTTGAACCGTTCAGATCGTTTGCATAACCCCGAGAATGTGCCTTGCAAGCCAAAACAAAACAAGCCCCGACCCCCCCCCCCCCCCCTTAACCCATCTCCACCTTAAAACCCAAACCCTTAACCGCCCCCCCCCCCCCCCCCCCCAACCCTAAAAACCCAGCAGCGGCAGGCGAACCCCAACCTGGCCGACAGCGACGGCCAGGCGCCTTTGCATCAGGCTGGGCATGTATGTTTTTTTTGTGTGCTTTTTTTTTGTGTTCGGAGGAGGGGGGGAGGTTGATTGTTTTTTTGTGTTTTCAGGTTTTGCTTTGTTTTTTTGGTGTAGGTTTTGGGATTTGGGGCTGTAGGGTTTCGATTTGGCCGTTCAAGAGGGCTTCGGGGGGCTATAAGGTTTGCAGAGTTTCGGACGCTTACCCCCCCCCCCCCCCCCATGCGCCATTCTACATCTCCGGGCCAAGCGCAACATACTGCATCGGTTGCCAGACTCAAGGCCTGCCAATGTTCCAGCCATAGGCGGTTGAGGGTTTAGGGTTTCTTTCGGGTTTGGGGTTTAGGGTTTAGGGTTTAATGTTGAAGGTTTCGGGTTTAGGGTTTAGGGTCGAGACTCCAAGGCTATGGACTGATCAGCATTGTCTCTGTTCCCAGACCCCAACGGTTGGGGTTGAAGTGAAACTCTAAGCCCTAAGCCCTAGAAACCATGACCCTCAACCCTTATAAGCCCTTTGTGGTGCTTTACTGCAACTTTAGATCCTTAGCCTTTTTGGGGGCTTATTGGGTTTTCTAGTAAGGCAGCTAGACATTTAACTTATAGCTACCCTCCTACGTGCTAATGCCGCCCCGCCGAAACAAAGAGAGGCGGCGGAGCTTGGCCAGCTCGATTGCCTCAACCTCCTCCTCCTCTGTGGGGCGCAGGCGGCTTTTTTGCGCAACCTGCGGGGGCCAATAGGTGGGCTTCCGGTTTCTTTGTGGGTCGTCAGAAGTAGGGTGTTTAGGTCTCTTGTGTGGGTCGTTAAAAGTAGGGATTAGCGCTTATGGATTGTTGCAAGCAGGGTTTAGGGTAATATGGGTTGATGTGAGTAGTGTTTAGGGTTCGGGGCTTGCAGGTGTCCTGGGCGGTTCTCGACATCGGGGTGCCCCATGAAAAAGAAGTCTGCTTAGAATGGGTACCCAGCAATGGACACTAATTTATGGGACCTGACTCATGGATTAACGATGATTAACGTATATCTCCCTTTCTATTGTGGGGATCCGATCCAGGTTAAGGTTACTATAAGTAGATGTTTCGGACGTCCGAGTGTAGGTGTTTTCCTTTACGGGGGTTTTGGTCGCCCCCCCCCCCCCCCACCAATTCCATCACCCTATAGGAGGGGACTCTGCTGTACACTGGTTGCTTGTTAAAATTGTCGTCCCTTTCTGGGGGGACGCTTCCTGCCAGCCAGGGGCTCTCTGATAAAAAGCGTTTAGGGTTTAGGGTTTAGGGTTTAGGGTTCGCACTCATCTCAGACCCCTAGCCCGAATTCGACCCTAAACGTACCTCCGACATTGAAACGTGGGACACCTTGGCTTTGTGCAGTCTTCCTGCTGCAGGGAACAGTAGCCATGCCATAGTTGTGCTGGAAGGCGCTTTTCTCGTATGTCACTCCCTCCCTCTCTCTCTTTCTTTCTTTTCGTTGCTCCCTCTCTATTGCCTATACCCGCATGTACAGTACCCGAAACCTTTAAACCTTAAACACTAACCCCTATATAGCCAAAACCCTAAACCCCAACACGACAGCACGGTAGGTCCACCAGCGGAACGTCCACGGCGAGACTGCAATAGCCATTGCACAGAGGCAGAGGTAGGCCACTGCAGAGTTGAAGAGCTTAGGGTTCAGGGTTTAGGGTTCAGAGCTAAGGGTTTAAGGCTTGGGGTTTAGGGTTTTGGTGTTTTGGGTTTAGGATTTTCAATTAGACGAATTCTCGGCCGCCCCAGTTCAGCTCCCCAGAGTTATATGGGCTCTATAAGGCTTGTAGGCTCTAAGGATTATCGTTTTTGAAGGGTTTTGAGGGTTTTAGGGTATAGGCCTGATAGGGCTTAAAGGTATAAGGTTCAAAGGCCAGGGCTTAGGGTCGCAGAGAGTCTAACCCCTTTGCCAGGCATCAGCCCTGCATCACCCTGTTGCGTCGGCATCGGCATTCAGCATCGAATGGTTCCAGGCCCACGGAGGGCTCTGGTTGAACTATTGTGGGCATATTTCAGGCAGCTGAGAACTGCTAGGACCCAGAGTAAGCCCCTATTCCTTTTTTTTGTGCGCACCCCCTCCCCTAATTCGTGTGTGTATATATGTATACTTAGGTGATACAGAGAGAGAGAGAGAGAGACAGAGTGTGTGTGTAAGCATGTGTGTGCAATACAAATGTTCGAGTAACGTTTGCTTTCTCCTATCTTTCTACCTCTATGGCCCCCTTACGAATCATTTTGTATATATATATATATATATACATATATATATATATGTATATTCTTATTTATTTATTTATTTATTTATTTATTGATATTTGTATTTATAACCTAAGGGAATATCAAAAGCGCATGTTTTTCTTCAGGTTCGAAGGGAAGTATATATAGGCCTTTGTTTTGATCTTCTGTCTGCGTGCACGTGTCCTGAAAAAACCTGCATAGGCTGCATATGCATATCCCTATTCAGGACTGCTAGTATAGGGGGGAACATCCCAGAACTTCTCTTTTATCATCTCCAGGGTTTCAGGGCCGATTTGATCTCAAGCCGGCCGCCAGCGAAGTGTTTGTTCGACCCCAGGCCCTGCAAACGAACACCCGAACCCCATACCCTAAACCCTAAACCCCTAGACCCCTAAACCCCTTATCCCCCTAAACGCCTAAACCCTAAACCCTAAACCCCACTCCAGAAGCCTCGGAGGCACGAAGGGCCTGGCGCCAGCCCGCGAGGCTCGTTCATGGGCCCCAGACGCTGAACCCTGAACCCCCTCAAGGGGTTTAGGGTTTAGAGTTTAGGGTTTAGGGGTTAGGGAACGGTTTAGCGTTTACTTGGAGGTTCATGGGTAATGATAAGGTTTTCAGTATAAGTACCCTAAAGAGGGCTGTTAGTTGCGCAACCCTACTTATAGCTACCCATGAACCTCCCTGCTTGCGAACGCGGGCAAGCCTGACAACTCCATGTGAATCCGTAACGCCACGAGTGGTGATCGACAGTGGAGAAGGATTACATATGGGCATTGAGAACTTGCTTTCTAGTTTGTCCAAGGCTTCTTCGAGGTACTTCTAGTCGTAACTATGACCCTGGGGCCTGCCTGCCGAGGATCGATAGGGGACGCGCTAAAATGATATTCTTATTTGACACTATAGGATAAAAGTGCGGTAGGTGGAAAACATGGAAAACGGTAGGGGGCGCGCTAACTCAAAATCAAGCAAGGCTTAAACAAGTAATTTTGACGCCGACTCATATGGGGGGGGGGACACTTACCCAAGAACATAATCATACTTTCCTATGATGGAAACCCTACTTTCTACTATGTAGGTAATTACTTAGGACCCTGAGCCCCGTAAACCAAGTTGGGTTCAGCGATTCGCTGTATGTAGGGCGCCGGAAAGGGCCTAAACCCTAAACCCTAAACCCTACAAGGGTTTGAGGGTTTGAGTTTTTTGGGATGCCGGACCTTCTTAGGGTAGAGTAAAGGCTGGCATTTTGGTAAGATCCGGCATCTTACAAAGCCGGGTCATATCCGGCGGAAAGACTTAGAGCTTCGGGTTTGGGTTTAGGGTCTTAAGGGTTTAGGGTTTAGGGTGAGATTTGGGTGTAGGGTTCTGGCTCTCTTTGTTGATGCTACCCAGCAACGTAGAAGTCAGGCCTCAACAAGATGCCCTGCGTTTGGCACCTACCAAGAGCAACCGATGTACCCCTTCAAAACAGGCACAGGTGCTCTAATTTATCAGCTCCATGTCCCTGTTGTTAGGGTAATATACAGGTCGCTCAACCCTAAACCCTAAACCCTAAGCCCTAAACCCTAAACCCTAGGGGCACTGCATATCTTTAGATTGAGGCCCCTTTGTCATGCAAACCCTCACGTTGAAGCCTCCAGAGTCCAGCCGAGAGAGGGCAGTCGGAACAACCTCGTTTAGGGTTTCGGATTTAGGGTTTCTGGGTTTAGGGTTTAGGGTTTAGGGTTCAGGGTTCAGGGTTTAGGGGAACTCTCACCAACACCGAAATCCCTAAGCTTTAAGCTACGTGCAGGACTGAGACCGGCTTTTCCTGGAGCTCCTCTACCACGTAAAGTTGCGGAGCTCCAGCAGATGAAGGCCGGGTGAGTTGCTGATCCTACCAGACTGCTGAAAGCTGCGAACCAACCCTAGACTCCTAGACTCTAAAACTACCCTTTGCTGAAGAACCCCAAAAGAATGAAGAACAATAATCCCTATATTACCCTTAACAAGGAAGATTTTTTCGGGGTTCTTAAGCAAGTAGTAGTAAACCCTACAGTGGCGTTTTGTCACCAGCTTTGGTGTGCCAAGCCCTGCCCTCATTTCTTGCAAGCATCACACGAGCAGTCATCTCAGCGGGAGCAACCGAAGAACAACCATCACAGCCGGAACCGGAACAGAACTTCAGAACACATTAGGGTTTAGGGTTTAGGGTTTAGGGTTTAGGGTTTAGGGTTTAGGGTTTAGGGTTTAGGGTTTAGGGTTTAGGGTCAGCCACTTACCGACACTCTTGAATAGCAACTTGCCAAGTAAAAGGAATGGTTCCTTCAGATTCTTGCCCCCTTGTGTTGTGTGAGTCCCTACGGCTTCCGCCCTAAGCAGCCCTAAACCCTAAACCTAAACCCTATATCCCAGACCCCACACCCCAAACCCTAAACCCCAAACCACAAACCAGGCGTGGGACCCCAACGGCTGCCTCCAAGCGACGCAGGGCGACGATGATGGAGTGCCCGCGGCCCCAGGGGAGCAATCTGTTGGTCCAAGAGTCTAGAGGAACCCTGAAAAGGGTTTAGGGTTTGGGGTTTAGGGCTTAGTTTAAAATATTTTCAGGCTTCACAAGTGGGAAAGAGGCGGCACATGGTTTCCCTGCGAAAGGTTAACTTTGGGTCTTCGTGTGTAGGTATGCTTGGGTGGAGGGTTTAGGGTTTAGGGTTTAAGGTTTCGGGTTTAGGGTTCACTGAGCTCCCGAAGGTGGGCTGAGACACTCACCCCAACTTTCACGAAGATTGAAGAAGATCGACTGAACCCAAAGGGCCCATGTAACTGTACAGTAGGGTTTAGGGTTTAGGGTTTAGGGTTGAGGGTATATACATGGGCCCGCAGGCTACTATGTGGGATCCCTTTAGGGCATATCCGTATATAGGTGCAAGGACCCTCCGGCGAATCGTAGAGGCGGTCCAGTTCATGAGTTTGAGGGGCGGGCTTCCGATCTTCGGCATGAAAGCTTACTTCTGACTGAGCTGACTAAGTCTCCGGGTTTAGGGTTTAGGGTTTAGGGTTTAGGGTTTAGGGTTTAGGGAGGTCCCACATGCACCCTCTCATGCCGAAGGCTCAACCCTAGTCGACTTCTTGGAAGACAAGGCGTTTCAGAAACGGCTTATATGAACATAACCCCCAGGCTATATGGAATACACCCTAGTAGCGAACCCCCCAAGAAGGACCCTAAACCCTAAACCCGAAACCCTAAACCCTAAACCCTTAACCCTAAACCCTAAACCCTAAACCCTAAACCTGAACCCCTAAACCCTTCCTCATACAAAAACCCACAAAACTCTCGCGGCCCAGGGCTCCATGGGTCTCTGCACAGGCAAGATTTTGGGGTTCCTAGGGTTTAGGGTTTAGGGTGTGGGGTTTAGGGTTTAGGGTTTTGGGGTTCGTCGGGTTTTGTGAGGAGAGGTAGAAGTACACGACGTAA